GGGCCTGCCACATCAGCGCCCAACGGCGGTGGCGCGGCGACGTCGGAAGGCGGAGGGGCAGCGGATAATATGGCGGAGGCGGAGGGGATGTTCAAGGCAACTGGGATTGTGGGCGGAGCAGCCGACGGCGCCAACGGCGGCGACTGCAGGCGGCTGAAGGAGGGCATGAGGAACGGGGATTTGGAGCTGGGAAATGGGCGGCGGCGGGTGGAGGGGGCCGGGGATGACGTGAATGGCGGCGCGGGCAGCAGGGACATAGGCGTGTGAGCAGGTGGCGCGCGGGGCACGCAGCCAAGGCGCGCGTGCGCTGCAAGCGTCGCCGCCGCGGGCTGCGGGCGGCCCGGGGGATGGCCTGGGGGCATTGAAGACAGTGTAATCATAATCCAGCCTGGGTGACTTGGCGCTGGTTTTGGCAGGTGGAACGGCTCACGAGCTGCCAAATGATGCTCCCAGCAGACGCTGAGAGCCGCGGCGGCCAGATAAAACGCACTGCAGTGCGTTTCATTCGGCAACAAGGCAAGGAGGTGGCCCGTCTGTTTCTCTGACAGTGTTGTATGGCGTATATGGCACCGCTTTGTGTGGGAGGGCTGTGAGTGACAAGTGGGCCCTCAAATCCCCCAGGGGTGGGGGGCCGCGGTGCCAGCATTATTGGTACATGAGTTGAGAGTGACGGAGCTGAGGCAGGCTGGGATGACTGGTGGACCACCATGTACCTGATGTATTCGACCAGGCATCATCTCAATTGGATGGATCTCAACTTTGAGCTCTGATCGGGATCGGTCATCCCCTGCCTGCAGCCCTCGCTGTGACGGCGTGAGCCATGACAGGACGGATCAGAGCGGTTGGGCTCGTCACCCGCAGCGGCGGCTTGCTCAAAGGCACTGGCAAGGGTGGGAGTTGGTGTAAATTATTATGTGACATCGTTTAAATTATAACGCGCCACATATCACCACCCCTCGACGCCCGTTGCCGTGTCAACTCCCTTCAACTGACCCTGGCAAGCGACCTCACCAGCGACGGGGCAGGAGTGAGCGCACGCGCGTAAGAGAGTTACGGGTCGAATCAAGACATTTCCGTGAACTTCCGGCGATTAGTGAAGAAATTGTGAGCACACCCTCCGGCCCACTCGTTTGGAGCTTGCTCCCGTCCGGTCGGAGGGTAACTATACGTTCGAGGAAGGCCCTCATTATACAAATAATACGCCTTGCAGGCAGGCGGCAGGAGAGTTGCTTGGACCCCCGTGCGATGCTCCACCTCCAGCCGCATGCTGGGCCCTCGTGCCACCAGCCCTCGCCGGCCCCGAGGGTCGGCCTTGTGGCGCCGGCGCTGGTGGTCCCGCGGCCGCGGGTCGTCCCGCCAGCCGGCTTCTATCGCGGGGCGTTCCATATGCCCATGGAGGTGCGCCGCTTGGCCGCCCAGCGGGTTGTGGTTTGGGGCTTACAGGTTGGGCTGCTGCCTCGGCTGCAGGGCGCGGCGGCCTGCAGCACTCGCCAAACGCCAGAGGAGCTTTGCAGCTGCGCGAGTGGCTCGGCATGCATGCCGACGAGCCCCGCGCCAGCCTGGCCCTGCATGCTGTCGCCATCCTTGATCCAGGTCTGTGGCTGCTCTGTCCCGTGTACCATCGCTCCGCCCTCCTCGCAAGGGCAACTCTCCCCAACCCCTGTGCCCCAGCCCTGCCAAACCATCCTGCTGGCAGGGGTGGCCTCCTCTCACCCCACCAGCCTTTTCACACTAATATTTTCCTCCCTGCACCCGGTGGCCAGCCTCGGCACTCCTCAACCTCCCCCCACCCTCAACCCCCTGTCACCCCCGAGGGTGGCAACCCCCAAAACCCAGGCCTCTACTCCCTCAACTCCAAGCCCACTCTCATTACTCAAAGCCTGAGCAACCCACACCCCAAACCCACCCCCTGAAACCCCCACAGGTGCGTTTTTTGGACCTGGACTGCTATGGCGTCGTGAGCCACGCGATGTACCCCCAGTGAGCAGCAGCTGCCGGGCAGCCGCCGCCCCTTGCTGTCCGTCCGTGACTCGCGCGGCGGGCTGCGCCGCTTGCTGCTGCCTGGGGTGCAGGCCGGCATGCGTCTGCACAGGGCGGCCTCTTGCCTCCAGCCCTTGTGTGCGAATGCGTCGCACGGTTACTTTGCGCATCACACCTTGCCCGCTGCCTGCTGCATGGCTACCGGCTCGTGCCTGCGTGTTCCGTGCGCATGTGCGTCAGACCAAAGCTCAAGCTCAAGCTTCGTGGACTGTCTAAGTAGACATGGATAGTTGCCTGAGAACACGCCAACTTGCATTCACAAGTGCATTGCCATGTACAAGAAAGGTGTATCCTTGTACATAGACTTTTACAAGTACGTATCAACCAATCACCGCACCTCATCCGCACAGGTATTTTCTGCACGCGCGCTGCAAGGCGTGGGAGGCCCTGGGGTACCCCCTGGATGCGCTGCTGCAGACAGAGGGCCTCATGATGGCGACAGTCGAGCAGACCATCAAGGTGCGCGCGCGCGCGCGTGCGTGTGTGTGTGTGTGTGTGGGGGGGGGGGTACACACACACCTCCCCATAATCCGTTGCGGCGCCGCTTGCAGCGCGGCTTTTAGCTGCATTATTAAGCCTCATGCCCACGTGATTGGGCCGCCTGCGTCCACCACCCTGCCTGCAGCACATGGCGCCGCTGCGCGCCGAAGACCGCTTTTACGTGCAGCACACCTGCGCCGAGGCCGGAAGCTCGAGGGTCGTAATGCAAGACAGGATTGTGCGCATCCCAAGGTCCCTGCCAGCCGGCGGCAACAGCGCGCATGCGCCCGTGGATGCCACGCCGCGCGTTGTCGCGTCGGCGCGCGCGGTGCTGGGCGCGCTATGCGCCAAGGAGCAGCGCCCCATGCGGATGCCGGCGGGGCTGAGGGCGGCGCTGCTGGACAACAAGCGGGACTTTGAGGAGTGGGCCGCCGAGGCGGGCGGCGCGGCCGGCGTGCCGCTGCTGCTCGATTCGGAGGCGTGAGGCGTGCTCGTCCGTCTGTTGCCGCAGCGGCGCGCCGGCAGCACGCAAAGCCAGCGTCCTCAGACGAGCGCGGACCTCTTTCAGAGCCAAGCGGCTGGGCCTGCCAAGGGCCACTCAGCTTGCAGCCGCAGGGTAGCGGCGCGCCTGCCCCGCGGCCGGCGAGCACCTGCCCCCAAGACCACCCCTCATGAGCCGGCACCGCACCTGGGGCGCCTCGTCTTCGCGCCCACAACCAAGATTTAGCCTTGACGTTCCGTGACCTCGGCTGCGGCGCGGAGCGATCTGCACCAGCTGCACGGACCCAACCGACGCACCCGCCGGCGAGTCCCTTCCGCGCAAGACAGCCTGTCGCGACCACCAGCCCCCCTGCCTCCCTCTTGACGGCGGCAGCTTCCTCAAACTCCCACCGCGCGGCTGCACTGCGCCCGGATGCCCGCGGGCACACCCAAGCATGCTTAGCACATGGGCGCAGCAGGCCGCGCGCGCGGTGCGGCAGCGACACCCCTCAAGATCAGCTTTCCTCAGAGTTCGCTTCGCATTCCCTGCAGCATTGCACCATTTATCGCACCGCGGTGCGCCTCCAAGGCAGCCCGTCCAAACACCATTGTCGCCCTGGCGTTTCCTCCCATTGTTCGCCGGCGGCCGAGTGCCGGCGGCGCAGTTGGTAGCGTTGACCAGTCCCCAAGATCTGAGAATACGCTCAGTTCAAGACAGCTTTGAGTTCCGCTTGAATTCAGGGACAGGCTCAGGCCAAGACGTCAAGGGCATTGCTTGCTTGTTGCGCGGATCTGCTTCAACAGGCAAGTTTCGTTGCGCGAAGTTCTGAATATGGTGGCTTATGTGTGTGTGTGTAAGAGTGTGTGGTGTGTGAGTGCCTGCGTGCGTATGCCGTGCGCGCCTATCGTGCATGTGTGTGCATTTGTGTGCACACGCGCATGTTTGTAATTGTGTGTGTGCGTGTGGAGGGGCCCCGAATATGCACATAGCATCACCTGTTGAGCACACGACAACAGCGTGGGTGCTTTTTGCATGTGCCGACTTGCATTTTTCCTGCGTGCATTAACAATCGCCAGGAACAAAATGTAACTTGTAACAATAAACAGGTGCTGCACCTCCCAGCACATGGGGACAGTCAAACAGTGGCGGTCAAAGCAGGCGCTGGTGCCGCGATAGGTGATACTGTACTAGATAGCAGAAATACAGTGCGCAGCGTGGCAGACTGCGGCGCACGCCCTCCTATGACCAGACAAGAGCCTGCGCTATCCATAGGGCATGGAAAGTAGCATCAAGGCCCAGTCATCAATGCGGTCAATCAAAAGTCACCATGCTTGCAGTACGGTACCACACTGGTTTAGTAATGGATCCAGCACAGCATTATCAGAGAAATGCTGCGTCTGCCTACGTCCCGGAAAACATATTCGAGTAGAGGTATTTCGTATGCATACTGGAGTTTATGCTGTCGCTTGCAACATGATCTCGGGTGCCTGTTCCTCGCGTGCCTCACGCAGCCCGACGTGGCAGCTTGCTCGCAACGCAATCAAGAGACTCTGCGTATCGGCAAATATACCTGTACTGCCTCCGCACTCGTCCCACGACCAAAATTTTAGTGTTAGCGGAGGGGCAGCGGCGGCCAGCGTTCGCGCGCTCGCACCACCTCTGCAGCAGCGGTGCGGCCGACGCCAGGGCCCGTCCGCACCATTCAGCAGCCGCCGCGCTGCGGAAGCACCAACTGATGACTCGCCCGTCTCGGCAAGCGGCGCGCCTGGCAGCGAAGGGGACGCGGCGGCGGCGGCGGCGGCGGCGGAGCGGCAGCGGCGGCGCTGCTGGCGGGCGATTCTGTGGGCGAGGGCCCAGCTGGAGGCGCTGGGGGCGGCCTACACGCTGCAAGGGGAGGCGGCGGCGTTCGTGCAGGTGCGAAAGGCCAGGGGGTGGGGCGGCCCGGGCCATTGGGCCCTTGCACACGCCCCTCAATCCCCGGACCCATTGGGAGCCGGTCCCGAGGGGTCTGGGCATTGACGCAAGTGACCCCACTTTGACCCGGATGACTCCCGTCGGCCCGGGCCGCCCCTTTTCAAAGGACATGCCGCCCATAGGTCGCGGGCCGGACCACTGCGCGTTCGCTCGAAACGATGCAGCTGGCCACTTATACGCACCCGCGGCGCGCGCCAGCCGCCGGCGCCATCCCTTTTTTAATCGAACGCTCAGTCTCATGAGCCTGGCTGGGTTTCAGAAGAGGGCGGCCGCGCGGCGATCCCACCATTATAATCCAACCCCGATTTTGATCCTGATTCTCGACCTAGTGCTAACCCTCGTGCGATCCGCTCGCCGCCCTCCCGACCGCACCTCCCCCGCAGGGCGTGCAGCTGCCCGGCGGCTTCCCGTCTGAGATCGCGGCCGACGTCCAATGGGACTTCCTGCAGCCGCTGCACGCCAAGATCACATCCGGCCCCCCATCTTCCTCAACCACTCAGCCCCAGTCAATGCTCTCGGGCCGGTCAAACTCTGGACCCTCTCCAGCAACAGGTGCCGCTCTGCACCCTTCTGACCCGCGCGCCCCCGCCGCCGCCGCCGACGGTGTCGGGCCGATCTCGGCCGTGCCCGGCGGCTGGGATTTCACGGTGCAAACCGAGGGCGTGACCGTGAAGTTCTCGGCGCGGCTCAACGCAGTCGTCAGGATGGGCGCGGGGCGGCTGGCGGCGCCGGTGCCGCCGGGGGCGGCGGCGGGCGGCCACAGCGGTTGGGAGCACCAGCAGCAGCAGCACGCAGGAGGGGGTGTCGTATGGGTTGAGGCGCTGACATTCGTGCGCGAGCGCGCACCGCCGGCGCTGGCTGCGGCCGTTACTGCGAGGCTGTGGGAGCTGCAGCGGGAGCTGGGTGCCAGGAACAACGCGGTGGGCTGGGGTGGGGCTTCGGAGGGGTGCGGTTTCGTGTGAATGGCGAGGAGGGAGGGCTGGGACG